CCGACCTCTCTTCCCTCACACCCCGACCTCTCTTCCCTCACACCCCGCCCCGCCCTACCCTACCCCGCCTGAAGACAGTGACGGGGCGGGGCAAAAGGATCGTGATTGACAGCGGCTCGTGATTGACAGCTGCTCTAATTGGCTCGGCAGTCGGTCGGCTGAACGAACGGACCAATAAGCGGATCGTCAAACCGAGCGGGCGGGAACAGCTGTTGAGGGAGAGGGATGGCGAGGCAGAGTTCCGCCGCACCTGATTGGGTGCACTGTCAAGATGAGCAGGCGCTCTCACCAATTGGAAAGGCTTCTAACCTCCGCGACGCCCCGCCCCAATGCGGCGTTTGGCGCTGTCCCGAGCGCGCTGGGCTCAGGTGGCTGTGAGGGGTCGGAGGCCGTACGGCACTGGCCTGAGGGCCGGGGCAGCGGGGCACTCTCGGGAGGGCGTCGCCTGCATCTGGGGGTGCTGTGAGAGCGGGGCGGTGAGGGGTGAGCCTGTGGGTGCAGTGGGTGTTGCTGTTGGCTCCCAGATGTGATATGGGGGAAATGTTACCCTGCACGTTCTATGAAAGGGTATTGGGGTCGGGAACAAACGAGTCGGCGATTAACGGTGACTCATGACATGGCACTGGCAATGTAGTTGGAAACCCAGAGCTGACTGTAAAAAACTTATTATGTGCGGTACTAAATATATAGCATCCCTTGTATAATAAAACCGTAGAAGTGATTCATCTTGGTCACATTGCAGTTTCTTCAGGGGTGCTTTATAATTTCAGTGCTCATTACCATGCCTAATATATTTTTTTGGCTGGTAAGTCCTACAGCTCCGTGTAGCAAGGCAAGAAGTTTTTACGTCAGCTTCATAATGCTGAGCTCCACGCTTTTGTTTTTCAACTCATCTGTGTTCCAAAAGGTTTTATGATTATTTGATGATTTATGGTTTCATACGATTCTGTGATTATAGTACTCCTCATCCAAATGATAAAAAGTGAAGTTCAAAGAATAAATCTTGACTTATGGCCAGATGAAAAATAAGTGATGCGTTGCTAATGAAACTGGAAAGGTTTCAGTAGCCAGAAAAAGGAACAGGACTTGGTATGGGAAACAAGGTATGTAATGGCTATGACCAGGAGACAGAATGAAAAAGAGGATGGCACTAAGTTAGCAAATCTGCAAAGACATAAATGCAGGGTTTTGGAGAATAAGGAGAAGTCAAAACACAGTTTAAGCTGTTTGAAGAATGCCATGTCCTACTCCTTTGTGTTCACTGTAGGTAGTACATCTGAGGAGGAAAAAAAACCTAACAGAAGACAAAAGAAAGGTACCAACATGAATTGTAAATATGAAAGGGAAAGAAAAGGTTTAAATTGAAGTATCTAGGGTGAAGAAAAACAATGTCCTGGACAGACTTTGAGAAAGGACAATAGCCTGGAAGTCAGTGAGTGCTAGAGCAAGAAAACCAGATAAGATTAATAGCTTTAAGAGAGAAAAAGTGAGAAACAAAATTAGAAGAATGAGAAAATGTCTTTGGAAATGGAAGAGGATACATACATTCTTGGAATATCAACATCTGCCTTTCGAGGAACAGTCATTAAGATCTGGGTATTGGTGATTAGATACTATCTCAGAGTATCAAAAAAGGTTAGGAACCTCCCACTGCCAATGTGCAGTTAAAAAAACAAACTTGTAGGAAAAAGAATATAGCTATAGCAAAACATCATGGCGTCCTGTTTAAAAACAGTGAAAAGTTCTTCAGTTCACTGGTGCATGTAAAGCACGGAAGTCCTTTTTGAACATTTTGCTGTAAGCTGGACACAAATGCTGAGGCAGAGACGGGCTTCTTGGAAAGGCTGTTTGGGGAGTGGTGCAAAGGGAGACAGGACGGAGCTGAACATAGGGAAACTTAGCTACTCTGACAGTGTTCGTAGAAAGGAGTCCCACTGAATGGCATACGTGGAGCTCTGGAGCTCTGGTGTTTAAAAAAATTAAAAAAAAAAAAACAATTTTGGTTTGGCAGAGGAGAAAACATTTGCTTTTTCTCTAGCTGAGAACAAAAAAGCTGTAGTCTGGTAGGGCATGCAGTTGCTGGTTTGCACTATGTTGAGATGATGATTAGTAGGGTGCTTCTGAGGGTGGACAGCTCTGACACCAAGAGTATTAACAGTAGGTTTATATAATGGTGAAAATGTGGAAAGATTTTAGATGTTTATTTAACAAATAACAAATGAAATAAGACATCCCAGTGCAATCTGTGGTTCAGATAGTACAAGAAGAGAGTGTATCCTGCAGTGTTTTCTTCACAGTACTTCTTTCATCAGTCATAATGTGCGGGTCAAAGTTCTCTTGGGTGTATTTTTGCTTTCCCTTCCTGGCTTTTTTGTTTTATGTTTTGATAGCATATTTAACCAACAGGCTAGAATTTGTGACTTTATTAAGCTGCAAACAAATTTTAATCTCTGGTTTATACTGTTGGTGGTTTAAATAAAGACATGGTGCAGAGGTGTGCAGTTTGACTCCTTGCCCTTTAAAAATCATTCACAGGTAGCTTCTGGTTTCACTGTTTGCACCTTGTTTGTTGTTGTTGGGTTTGATTCCTACTACTCTTTAAATGTGAATTAGTAGTTAAAATCTGTGCCCCTTCAGTGGTACTGTTTTCTCACCAGCAGTTGACTAGCTCACAGCCTTTCAACTATAGCTGTAAGAGAACCTCCAAGCTTTTGCATAACTGAAGAGAAAGGACATTGTGAAATATGGAAACCCACTTATGACCATGCAGTCAAAACTGTGACTTTCGATAACTGGTCATTTCTCTTTAAACTTAGGGATGTTTGCCAGTATCTTATGTGTTTCTTTGTAATTCCAGACACTAGAGGAGAGCAACGAATGGCAGCAAGCATGGTGTTCCTGTCTGCAGAACCCCACTAAAAATATCCCCAGTCAGCTTTGAGTATCTGGTTAGAACAGCTTGCTGAACTCTATCAATTAGCCAGATCCTAATCTATTTAATGTGTTTTATTAAGGCTATATAATGCTAATGTTTTAATCAAAATGTCAAGCAGTACTAAATTGAATTTATTAGGAAAGTCCAAGTATATCACATCTATGTGGTTACCTTGATCAAACAAACTTGTAATCTCATCAGAAAGTGAAGTCAGGCCTGCTTGTCAAGACTTGTTTCCATAAAGCTGCGTGGACTTGCTTTCGTAATATTCCTCTTCCTTAACTCCCTCTTGATTGAATCACACATAGCACCACTGTTTTGTCTGTGTTTACTAAAGATGCCATACTCAGATCTGTTGTCATCTGGCTCATTTGGTGTTTTTTGATTCTCAAGATAACTGGAGGTTTCCTTTAGCCCTTTAAATTTTGGACTGTGTGGAAAGCTATTCCAAATTAGCGCTTAAAGGCTGCATGTCTCCTACTCTTTTAGGACCTTTGGATGCCTAAATGCTATGGCGATTGTTAAAAAAACAGCAGTGCCATTTTCATTCTCAATAGGTGTCAATGGGTAGGAAAATAATTAATCATCCTCATGTAATGTTAATACATTATCCTTTTTTTTTTTTTTTTCCCCTTTATTACAGGATAGAAATATTTACCATAAAAATTCACACCAAGAGACAAGCTTTCGTAATGAAGAAGCTGCGACAAGGTGGGATGTGTCTATAAAGAAATGAGGATATCATTTAGTATTAGCAACATTTGGCAGAGTGGGCCATGTGCAGGTATGGATTAGACTGTGGAGAGAGTTGTGTGTTCCATATTGAACAAATCTATTCTCTTTGCTGTTGAAAGGGAAGATTCTCCATCCACTTGAACTCTTAGGGCTTTTTATCTCTCCAGCAATATATTTATTTGTTAGAAAAGTCAATAATTTTCTTTTGGATTAATGAGCGAGATTAGCACTGTACAAGGTTGAATGAACATTAGGGCTGGTGCAAAAGCTGTAGGCCTGGGCAAAAAGGTGGACATGGTCTTTCTTTGGTTAAACTTAGTTCAGCTCAGGCAAAGAATATAACTTCATGGTATGGTAACCCATTGAATTGTATTCCACATACATGCCCTACCCTGGAAGAGCAGTAAATCTCAATGAAGAAATATCACAGCCATCCAAACAGCAGGCATACAATTTTAAGTAGTTATTACTTACTGGCTCATTGCAGTAGGGCAATGTGTTTCTTGCAGAAGGTTCTCCAAAGAAGAGGAAGTGATATAGATTGTGTTGCTCTGGAAGGAAGGGTTGTTTCCTAACAGACTGTGGAATACAGGCTGTAACAGAAGCCATGGGAAGTATAAAAGTCTCGGTAATTATTATCTGCACCATAGTTACTTGCTGTATCTTTACTGTAGCAAGAACATAAAACTCTGGGATGTCTAACTGGGAGAACTTCATTTCTAGTCGTGACAAATGTGGGGCCTTTCTGGGACGCAAAACCTGTCTAAGAGGATGGGTAAACACTTGGGTAGTTAGTATATGCCATATACCAAATAACTGTGGGCTACTAAACTGCTCAGATTAGCATAAGGGTACAGCTTACTGGGGTTCTGCTTTTGATGTAGGCCAGAGAGTCTGGCAGTTTGATTAACTGTTAGACAAGAAACCACTACGGGATTACTGCCATCCTGTTTTCTTAGCTTTACCTCTAACTTCTTATCATCCTTTGTTGCAGTT